GCTCTCCAAACCCTAGCAAGGACCTAGTCAAAATATCAGTAATTCTCTATTATTTGTTTTACTGAAAACGGCTGCAAGGTCATATCCCCAAATCCATGTCTCTCTGTTGGGGTTTCTGAACCTGCTAGCAGACAGAGATTTAAAGAAGGCTGGAGAACTCAAGGAAGTTATCCAGCCTTCTTTAAATCTCTTTCTTTAAATCTCTTGTTCTCCAGCCTTCTCAAAATCTAACATGCATTACAGAGGATGTTATTATATGTCCTCTACTTTAAACAGACAACAAGTGGAACCAATGGTGCTTTGAATTCTGAACCAGCTACACTGATATGCATATCATGTCCACACTGCTGCTGGGAAAATTGGAGGTAGACGCTTTTTTCTGACTGTGCTCATGCACATGAACTGTTATTCAGTTAATTTTACAGATTGAGTTTTAGCCCAACTTCAGACAGGAACAGGAAAACTAGCAACAGATGGTGGTGGGGAATGAGGGGAGCTGAGGTGTGTAGGCATGAACATCTCTACTTACTGACTGTAACTGTTGTGAAACAATCAGGAAATAGCTTTTTATTTATCTGATAACAGTTTTTTCAAGGCTGGCACAAACTCTTTGTTATTGTTACTCTGTGCCTGTCTACCAAAGTTCTCTCTCCCTTTAGATAACAGTATAAGAGATAGTCAGTGAATCCACTGACATAAAAGGCTTTCTGTGGAGCTTTGACCGATCTCAGAGAGTGTTTTGCTTTTTATTTCTAGCTGCACCTGATAATCTTCAGGATCCAGTTGTGGATGTTTTGTGGAACTTTATTGCAATTTAAATCAAATTCAGCTCTGATTCGATTTCCATTACCTGTGTTTTGTGGATTGAGTGTTATTTTAACTGCATTTCTTTTGATTTGGGAAGTGTCAACCCGGTTGGGACAAAGAAGTGGGTGGGTGGCAAAAAAAAGTTTGGCAACCGCTGTGTGTGATTTTAATGTGGCATTAATGAACAGAAATGGTACAGAAAAATACCTAAAAAAAAAACCTTAGCATATTTTGCTCCCTAAATACTAATTGGGTACAGACTAAACCCAACTACCTACAGTTCCTGAGTATTATTGCTATCTATGTCTTTCTGTTTTTCACAAATGACTTCTTTTTGAATCTCAACAACAATGACTTTAGGCAGTTCTGAAAGGAAGAAAGAGGGAAAATGCAGTGCCAGCCTTGATAATAATCTGGCCTGTTTGTATGGGTCCCAATTATTGCCAAAATAATTAACAACAATAATGCCCTCTTAGGTTGATGAAATCTGGACCATTAGGAAAAAGCAATCTGATCCAGCCTGAATAATGTGTCCTACTCTAAGCCCATGCATGTCACTTTCCATCCATAAAATAGCTGATTAACATTTTGATAAGAGCTAGAATTGTGTTTTCTGTAAGCATTAGTCACATCCTTGCAGGCACAGCTAAAACACGCTTACTGTTAGCTATAGTATCCTGTGGTTGGTTTATGCTGCTGATACAATGAACAATCTTGTAAAGGTATGAACAAATATCCTATTATGCAGAGTTCAGGACCTGCGAATCGATGGTAATCCATGAAAGATTATCGCCGCTTTCAATGTCGAGGTTTGTTCGCTTGTTGATATTTCTGTGACAGTCAACATATTGAGGGAATTTACAGTTTCTCTCTCAGGCTCCTGTGTTTTCTGTTTGTCTCACCCTTCAAAAGAATCCACAATGTGCTGTTTATCAAATGCTTTCAGAAGTGGCACACATAAAGACAAAGAGCCAGGTAGAAGGGAATGAGCAAACGGGTTGTTGCTTGCAGGGCTGCCATTGATTGCCACAAGCTATTTATTTATCCCTTGACATAGATATCATCCTGCAGGAAACTTTGCCACAGCGATTGTCTCAGAAAGTGAAGCATTCTCCACCCGCGGGGCATATGAGAGGTTGGTCGAAATTATGCTATTTTCCTGCACCACCAGTGAGCAGCAGTAACAGCTCCCTCTGGGAGTCAGTGTTGTAAGGGGAGGAAAAAGGGGTTTATCAGGAATGAGAGCCCTAGAAACAGCTCTAAGTCACACGCAACCGCTTTAATGGCACACGATCAGACGGAAAGAAAGAGGGCAGCTCAGGATGTATTGTAATGAGAAGACTTTACAAAGGGGTTCTTGGGGCCTCCGTGACTGCAGTGCTTGAGCTCTCACTGTGGCCTGTTATAAGATAATGGTTTTGTTTCTGATAAGAATAAAGGGCAAGGATTAAACTCGAACATTTCTTCAGAAGCTATTAATGTAATCTCGTGTTGGATTAATTCTTAAGAGTAGCAGAAGTGCTGAGGGCCAGCATGAAGTTTATGTTTTCAGCCCCCCCCCAACCAACCCCCCTAATTGGCAGTTCAAAATGTAATTAAAGACACTTTGCCTGAGTGAGTTAGAAAACATCAGCAAGAAAGCATCCAACATCTGACTAGACTTCATCTAAATCACAGACATACTTATTAGTTTGTATAAGATAAGCTTTTAGACTCTGTGTTTTTTTGGGTTTGTATTTATGTGCTTACTATCTTTTGATATTAATTGCTCTTTGGATTCTTTATTTTAGGGTCTAAGTGTCTCAGCTCCCTGCATTCCCTAGCTCTCTCTCCTCTGCTAAAGTGGCATTTCTTAGTTTTCTCAGTCAGAGGTAGATTCTCTCTTTTTGCTGCCAGAATGGATTTATTATTCAAAAGAAAACTCCATGTACATATCCAGGTTTCATCTTTGTGTTTGGGTGCTCAGCTACACAGAATAATGATGTTATGTGTACAAATCATTGCATTTTTACAACATGTGAGTTTTGTTAAGCTACAGTATTTGTTGTGTGACTTACTTGAAGTTTTGTGGTTTCTAGTCCAAACCACTAACTGTGGGGTCCATAAGCCAATTTACATGTCATTTGAAAGTATGCTTAAGATTATTGTCTATTTAAAGAGCCCACATGGACAATGCTTTAGATTTAACTTGGCTAAACCTGGCTGATATGTTGAAATATTTTATAAATTTTCTCTCTTCGCAATGCCGCTTGCTAAATAGTAAATTACCTGTACATATATAGCACTTTTTCAAGACAGGAGACTTGACCAAAGCACTTTTCACCACATTAAGTAATTCATGCATTCACTCATAAACTGATGGTGGCTAGCTACATGGTAGCCATAGCTGCCATAGGGCTCACTAACAGTACATGGGCACCATTGGGCCCTCTGACCACCATCAGTAAGAAATGTGGGTGACATGTCTTGCCTTAGGGCACAAAGACATTGAAAGCCGTTGCTGGAGTTTGAGCTGACGAACCCGGTCGCAGTGCAAACTCCTGCATCCGATACTGCCCTTGTCTACCCGTGTAACAGTTCCTGTCCCTTCTGCAGAATAATACCCGCACAACATGGAGCCACTACCTGCATACTTTAGATTTAGGTAGTTTTCTTTATCTTACTCAGTCTTTCAATGTTCCCCACTCTTTCCACAAAGTATAATTTTTATTATTTTTACTTCTGTAAGTAAGCTTAAGTTTCTCATAACAAAGAACATCCCATCAGAAACCAGTTATTTTGCCAGGAACGCTTTTGCAAACTGTTGCATGACTTTTTATATTGATCTTTGGGTAATAGCTTCCCTCTCACCTTTCAACTTATGTCAGAACACGTTAAATTCCAGCATTTTTGTACAAGGTGTTTAGCTTTATGATTTGCAGTTTGAAAAACATAACAGAAACTCATTCAATCAGAATTTAGGAGGTCAGTATCACTTTATATTATTCCTGATTTCTTTTGGGTTTCCCATGATGTCACAAGAAAACATTAAGTTTGATGTGCTGTTTTGAAAAACATCTACAGTACAAGTGCCCATACATCTTACTAACATGTTGTGAATCAACCCATAAGAGGATTGTAAAGCTATGACCTTATATTCTGACCTTTATCAACTTGATGAATCCCATAGGAATCTTAAAGTATGTAAACTTCTGATAAAAGTAATACATCAATTTTTCAAGCCCTTTACTGTCAGATAATATTAATTTTACAAGGTCAAACATACAAACACATATTTTTCAGTGTAAGCACTAAGCCCATTAGTCTTGATTTGGAGTGGGGGATGAAATTGGGGTACTCAAAAGGGGCCAATGCATTCATCCAGGAGGAGGAACAGAGTGCAAGTTAAAAGGTTTATAGGTTCATTGGTAACAAGTCTCTTGTGAGAAACCAGAAACTGTTATAAACTTTTATATTTCAGATGGTCAACTTTTGAACAGCAGTTTTTTTTGCTTACAGTAACTGGTATCTGCAAGGCAACAGCCAAGAGTGTGGTGACAACACAACAGCTTGATTCTTGAGAAGAATCTGGAGTTTTAATCTCAACACAGGCCAGACTAAATGAGATCAGAGAGAAATCTGTGAGACAAGCGGGAGAGACAGAAGCGGTTTTAGGTAGAATAATCTTTGGGCTAGGCAAATAGTGTTGGTCTTGGGGGATAGACTGTAACTGTAAGCTAATCAATTAAGGCCATTAAGGGTAAAACTAAACAGAAAAAAATCATTTGGAAGAAACTTGGTCAAGATTTGGCAGGCAGCCAGCCAGCCAAGGAAAAGACATAACGCTGAATATTAACTCACACAAGACTTTTAGAAATCTGGCACTGCCTGTTTATCAAGCCAAACTTATAAAGAGCAGTATACGTGAAAGAAAATTCAGACAGACCAGTCAGAATAATAAAATATACAGAAATAATGTAAAAATATTCCAGACTAGGATTTCAACTAGCATGTTTATATTGCAAGGCAACAGTGCCTAGGGTCAAACCAGCATGCTGCCTAAAACATAAATGTGGTATTTACCAAATATAAATTATATTGGTACTCCTAATTGGCCTAAGGCAAGGAATTTGATTCTAATTTAATCAAAAAGTAAGGAAATGCTTCTAATTTTTGTCACCTTTTCTTTTTCTTCTTTTTTTTTACCTCTGCAGGGTTGCAGCTCTCATGGACCATCTTTTAAGGGCAATGTTGTGGCACCAGGCTCATCCACAGTCACCCCACCTGTTCTCAGCAAAGCACTGTCAAAAGGGAAATGCTTCAGGTAAAAATATGACATACTCTTATTGCCTGCCCTGTTTCATATCTTCCTCAGCCCGTATCAAAATGTAAGAGGCAGCCAAGTGAGAACTTTAATCAACCCAGCAATATGATATAATAAATGGGCTTCCAAATAATAAACAGATCATTTGTTAAAGGAGAAACATCTTAGAGGGATTTATGAAGATTATAAATGGGGGCAACTGTGGAGGTTTATTTTTCAGATTGCCAACTAGATGAGTTTTATTTTTCTTTATAGGAGGGTTCACTGGTTCATACAGCTTGATCAAATAAATAGCAGAGTGTGCTTCAAATAAATCATAATGCAAATGCATTTATAAACAACTTACTTTATATACTCTTTATTTTCTTTTAAGATTATTTTGTCAACACCTGCATAGATTTAATAATACTGGAGTAGTAATTAAATACTTTATTTCTAAGTTGAGTGTAGCACAGCTCTCAACATTGTATTCTACCCGTCTTAGTCCTAATTTTGCAGAATCTCTTTTCAATTCGATAATGGATGTAAGTCTATCACAGTATGTCTCCACCATTTTGTAACAAAAAAGGTTAAGCTCTGGCAAAGTCCAAGAAGAGAATATGTGCATATCAAGTTTAAAGTCTTGTTGAAGTCTCAATTTAATTTTGATCACTATAGAACATATCGTTCTAATGCATGGATATGGAGGGTAATTGCAAGATCAAGTTATAAACTGTTATAAACTGTTCAAAATATAATCATGTGAACTTTATCCTAGACTTCTATTAATTTATGTCCACTTTTAGAAAATGAGAGAGCAGCATTTCTATGCCCTTGCTGAGATTGTAGGTGTTAATACCCTATGATATAAACATGATATTATTTTTAGGGGTAATAAAGTAGGGTAACATGTTATGCTTAAAATATTGGTAACAAAATAATTATTCTATACAATAATAAGAGCCGTTTCTAAATATGTGTACTTGTGCCTTTTCATGTGCTCGTGTACTCGAAAGACGTCATCAGCTACACCCCTAGTACTGTTCCAATTCACAAGAACAAGAAGACCAAGAACGGACAAAGTCCCCGGTTTTTGTCCTCGCCCCTTTTTCTTTACTGAGTATGCATCAGAGCAGACTTGTCCGTTCTTGAGATTGACAGCTGTCCCAGCATGTGCATCAGCAGCAGCAGTTTTCAATGGTGCACTCACAGAGCTCAGAGTATTAAGTTATAAGATCTCTTTTCTGTCACCGTTGTTCTATAAAAGTACATTTTGAAATCATTTAAGGTGAGAACATTGTACTTTTAAGCATCACTATATGGCCCATTTACTGATTTAGTGCATAATTTAAAAAAAGTTCCAAGCTTGAGAGGACCACGGCAACCAGTGGACCTCTGCCAGGGCTAATTTTAGTTCATCTGCAGCAGCCCTCTGTGAGTACCGCTGACTCTGATGGAGATTTTTTTGTATTATTTGCCTCCGCTAAATGAAGGTGTAAGAATTTATTATTATCTAGAGACTTTCCTGTGTTCTTCTCAAGAACGTATTTGGCGAGGACAAGATTCTTGTGAATCGAAAAAAACAGCCAACCTGCCTTTGTTCTTCCTAGGGGGTGTTGCTATAGAGACAGAGTTTTGTCTTAGTTGACGTCGCTGCACATGCAACAGAAAGAAAGAGTTACAGTTGCAGTATTAATGATTAAAAAGTATCTGATTACATTTTAGAGTACAGCTACCCAAATACTGGATATAAAAATAAAAAATCACAGCAGTGTAACTAGCATTAACCTTTCTAAAAGGACATAATTCCTGATATGCACACGATGATTTATTATAGATAGGTTTTTATCGAAAAATCTTTGGTGTAAAAACAGGCACTATAGCTATAGTACTATAGTACTATACTCGGCCATTGACTCAGAGCAAGTCTAAGTCGATGACGGGGTATTACGGAAGTGGGAGAGGCAGCTGGTTTTGTTGGCCGAGCAACTGCTATTGTAACTGTCAAAATGACACATTTTCATAGCGCTGACTTGAGGTCCACAAACGGACAGGTCCCTCATGTTTATGTGTGAATAAGGAGATAAATGTGCTTGAAAGCACTGTAACCTCTAGAAGAGAAATAAATCATAGATATAGAAATAAATGCATCTTCTAAAACTTTCCACGTTGAAGTGCTCTAAAATTATCTGGTAGATGGCTGCATTAGGTATGGACTTTAGGAGACACGGTGGACCAAAACCAGCAGATGACATGGCATCTTAAATCACCGCAGGGACCCGGATTTCCAAATAAAATGCAATCTTAACTGGAATCTGAAAATAGGACTTTGGACCAATGAGCAATTTTTCCCTCTCTCTCTATCCCAGATGGTTCACTGTCTCATGATTTAGAAATAGGCTGACACATGGTATGGGACACTTGAGGCCCATATGTAGATCCATCTTATGAAGCTCACCAAAATTCTTGACTAACGATCCTCTCAAGGCTGTGGTTATTTCTGTCTCTGTTGTGCTTATTCCTTCAGCACTTTTTCCTTCCACTCAGCCTTCCATGTTATTAAGGTTTTCACAAGTCGGAGAAACTAATGTTTGTATTTTCATGAACTGTAAAGAATAATAATTTCGATTAAACTAATTATACTATTTCACCTATGCGCAATGATTCTGTATAAACTTAATTTTACTTTCTGAAATTAGTAAATAAGCAATATGTTTTGAATATTTAAATATTTTAAGTTGTACTTCTGAAAAAGCAGATTAGGATTTGGCTCAATTTATCTTTCCACCCCATACTGTATTCTTAAATCAGGCTGTGGCACACAGGTTGGGATGAAGCAAACCAACTTTGTAGCAAAGGAGGGTAGAGCGAAAACTTGAATTGTTTTTTTTTTTTTTTTTGTTCTTGCTTAAGAAGTATACTCAGACGTAACAAAAACTATATAATTTTGTGCAACACCAAGGAGCAATCTAAGCATTTAGGTCAAAATACAGGAAAGAAGAAACATAACCTGGTAATAACACTGGAGTCAAATGCCAGAGTTAAAAATCAACAACATTTAAACTGGAAAATGCCTTGAATACCTGTCTCATTTTAGGAACCAAGTCCACTTTTATCCGTTGTTTATATCCTTAATCCAAATGATTGCATAAATCCTTTATGATTTTTTTTTTTATATTGAGGTTATACTCCAGTTGACTTATTTTAAAAAGCAGGCAACTTCAAGAATAGTAGTTGGTGCTGCTAACTGGACAGAAATATGAAAAAGTTAAAGGAATATAAATAGCTAAATCCTAGAGGACAAGCAAATGTGTGAGGTTCTAAACAGTAAATATCAGCAAATTCCCCCTGTCATCTTGTATTGGAGAAAGATTTAACAAATTGACAACATTTAGCTACAAGCGATCTGTATGTCGGCTTCTCTTTGTGAACACAGCAGACAGAATCAGATCCTTCCGTTTAAAATCCTCAGGGGAGCCCAGGAATACTTAATGCAGCTTGCTACAATGGGCCTGTCTTTAATGTTCCCGCACAAATTTCACTTCCTTTGGTGATATGGGTATACATTTATAGCACAAAAACATCCAGAACCACAACCTACAAGATCTCTTGCTCTGTTTATTTTTTTCACTCAGCCGTTGCAAGTATTTATTCCTATGAAATATTAGACACCGACCAATTGCTTAAAGCATTTTATTGCTGGTAAATGACTGCTTGGAAGAGATAGCCCTGCTGTAGCTGTGTCATATAATCATAGTGGATAGAGGTTGGGTTATGCCTTCCACAAATTTGTGTAAACCATTATTACATTGGCATCTTTTAGTGTTTTCTTAGCTGAAGATGGTTCATGGCAAACCAACAGTGATGAAAGACAGTAAAGAAAGCTGTGTCTGGGGAGGGGGTTTGTTGCCCAGTTCAAATATTGTGTGTACAGACAGTGGGAGTTTTTACAGGTCTGGTAGACAATGGTGACAGCCCCACTGTGGGGCAGTTGTGCTGTGTTTTAATGGACCAGCAGCGTGTCGCAGAAGAAGGTTTTTCAATTTTTTTCCCCCCTCTTTCTGAAAGGTTGTCACGCATTGCTGCAGGGACAGTGCTAACACCTCTTGGCCTTTTCTCTTCAGTGTGGTGCTATGGACGTGTCCCATGAAGGGCAGCTGACAGTCAATCATCTGTTCAAACTCTTCTCTAAGCCTCTGGAGGAAGGGGAGAACTAGACTGTGATGGATGATGCTGAAAGGCTTTCAGCCATTGACCTGAAAAACTGGAACACATTGTGAGCTATCAGGAGAAATACCCCATACTAACATGTCAATATGGCCCCCATCAATAATACGGCAAATGTTTACCTGTGTGTACGAGGCTTATCACTGGGAACGGGCCTGTGCAGGTTGACTCGGTTGTTTGAAAGCAGACTGCATCTGTTGAACTGGGATGTTGTCTCAACAATTTAGATATCACTAAAGAACACCTGTGGCCTCCTCTGACCACAGTGACTTTAGAATCACACAGGGGGCTCAGCTAGGCTGAACACCAGCAGAAAGGCCTCTTTGTGGTCAACAGAGTGTACGCTTTAAATATTTATAACGGACTTGTACATGTTATGCTGATTCAGCATCCTATTAAACCATATTGAAGGTAAGCCATATCCATATGCTGCAAACGTTAACAGATGCCATATCTTACAAAAAACATCATAAACACCTGACAGTGGTTTAAAGGCAAAGAAGTAATGAAATAATAATTTTGCATTTAGATTTTAAAGCCTTAAAAATGCTGAAGGCTGAAAAATATTGCAGTCCTACTGTGCATTTTTTTGACAAATGGTTGCCATTCCAGGATTTTAGCCACGGGACATCTTTAACCTTAGTTTCTTGACCTTGTATTCATCAAAATACACCAAGCATGTTATTAAATTAAAAGCATGTGCAATTAGATTTTTCCTTGACCCTTGAACATCATGTTACCAAAAACTGTAGATTAGGCTATAAAATCAACTCCTCCATACCAAAGAAATATAA